TCATTTCTGAGATGAAAAAGAAGAATCATGAACCCAATGTTCGAGTCAGTAAGCAGCATCTTTGTGGTACGATTAGCCCTGAATTCTGGCCTCTCTTGCTCTGCAGGGACTCATTGCTCATCTTGAGGCACACAATGTAATTTGGAGCCTCTGCTTTCTCATTTGTGAGAGCAACACTGTCTGGGAAACTTGGAGAGCAGAGTTGCCTGGATTACATACCCTAAGGTCCTGCCAGGGGGCTCAATTAAAGGGCTAATTGGAAGAATGCTAAAAAGAAAATAAAAGGATCCCACCAAAAGAGCACCCATTACTCAACTCAAGTTGCTTTGTTCCAGGAATTAAAAGGCACATCTATGATTGGAGCATAATTCAGGGAACAATTTTGGTCTAACGGCTTCAGATGTGTTTCCAATAGGCTTTCTCCATTTCAACTCTCTGATTTTTAGTCTATAAACTTGCTTCTCTATGTCTAAAGAAATTCTGCCTAAATTCCTTGAGGGTTTGACCCTTTCTGAGCCTTAGTTTATGTTCTTTTGTTCTTGTACTTGACATTATCTCAAATAGTCTTGTAAAATCTTGCTTCTGTTCCCTTCAGAATTTTATATCCCTCAATGAGGCATTTTTCCCTTTTCTTCAGCAAAAAATAGCTTCCTTGCTCTGGTAAGTTTTTTGTTTTATGAATACAGATAAAAATTTCAAGTTTTTAGAATGATACAGAGCACTTTTTTTGGGCACGATTGCTGCGTACCAAATAACCTAAAACAGAATTACTTGAACAAAGTGAACATGTGGACAATCTGTAGTGGATCAGGTTGTTGGGCTGCCAGCGGGAGGAAGGCTGAGGGAGAAGCTGATGTGTTGGTTTTGAGGGGACACAGGAGTCTAAAGCGGCTAGCAGGATGGGCAGCATGGTAATACTGCTCTCTGATATGATGATTCAAAAGAATTCAAGGGCACATTTTCACTTGTTCATTCATTTGCTATGTATTCAGTCACAGGTGAGAACGGGAAGCATATTCAGTAGAAGATAAAATGCCAAAACTTTGGGGAACAGTAACTACTCATTTAAGAAGGACTTTTGAGGGTCTGAACTACATCAGGCAGTGTACTGAGATACCAAGATGCAGCTCTTGCCCTGAAGCAATTTGGTGTCTGGTGGGGGAGATAAATAACCCACCAATCAATCATGGTATAGTATGATGAATGTTCTCAGAGCTGCCAGAAGCAAGAGAAGTGTCTCACCTCTCCCATTCCACCTTGGTAGGTGTGGGATGAAATGGGAGTCAGCACCGAAGACCCCCAGCTTCAACCAGGGACGATCACACCTTGAGTGTGGAGGGAAGTGGGCTACACAGTGTGAGGAGGGTGACACGAGTGGCACTTTCCTACTGCTGTAACAAATTTCCACGATCTCACAGTTCTGCAGGTCAAGAGTCTGAGATGTCATTAGTAGGCTAAAGTCGAGGCATTAACAAGGCTTCAGCCTTGCTAGAGGCTCACGGGGAGAACCTGTTTCCTGGCTTTTAGAGGGTCCTGTGTTCTTCGGCTTGTGGTCCACTGCTCCATCTTTAATGCTAGAAATTGCCACCCTGACCTCTGCTTCTGTTATCACATTTCCAACTCTGATGCTCCCACCTCCTTCTCTCACTATAAACACCTTTGTGGTTACACTGGACACAACTAGATAAGTGAGGATAATTTCCCCATCCTAATATCCAGGACCCTTTTATCATATAAATAACATCACAGTTCTGGAGATTATGATTATACACCTTTGGTGGGGGTATATGTATCACCCACAGTGAAGCAAAGGAATTTTAGGGAGGATGAGAAGAAGAATAACGTTTTCCTTCTTATATGTTAATCCGGGTCTGTATTACACCTGTGAAATCTCATTAATGGCCTCGTTCAAGTAAAGAAATGAGCTACTACTTGACAGTTCTTCTTAGTAAAGAAAATACAAATTAGGGCAGTGTTACTTTCTATAATGAAGCAGCATGAAGTTGTACCTTAAGAAATGATATAGATTCAGAGTTAGTTAAATCTCGAGTCATGCTCATAGGAATGCCTGTTGCTAGAATCAAGGTGCCTTGCTTCAGAACTGGTGTATATCATTTTGCTTCTCTCTGACCATTCTCTGTAGATTTGACATTCAGAGTAACACCCTGAAGATGTGCCTCTTTATCACCTTCCTAGTCTCCTCTGAGTTCAAGCTGGGGACCCTTGTGCCACCCTGCATCAGCACTGGCTTCCCAGCACGGGCCACACCAGCTGAACCAGCACGGTAGGTAGCTCTGCCTGCTTTGGCAATGGCACGGGAAAGGGCATTTTAGGTCCTGCTGGGCTCTGCACAGTGCTGGAGGCTGGTGCAGGAAGGGCAGTGAGTGCTTGCCCTGCTGGGGGAGGCATGGATAAAGGACACCCAGGTTTCTGCAGAAAATGATTGTCATGCTGATTTTAATGCTCCCAATGTGTTTTTCTTCTGAGTTCAACAATGATTACAAAGTATTTTAATTAATCTCACATTTGAAAACATTAAAAAACAAACTCCAAAATAGATCAAAAGCAATTTCAGACTTCATGGATTTTTAGTATAGTATATTTTAAAGAGTCACACAGTGCTCCTCCAGTCACATGTATTTTCTGGTGCCCACGGTGGTGTTCCCATCAGTCTTTCTCATAGTTATTCAATTCCCCCAGAGGAGCTCATTGCAAATGCTGGGGAATCAGAAATCTGTATCAGAAGGGGTCAAGCCTCCTCTTAGTAAAGGTGTTGTTTGCCCAGAATTCTCTCTTCTATGTGAACGTTCCATGCTTGCCCCTAAGCTGCCTTGACCTTGCATGCTAGCCTCTCCCTCTAGGCTCTAATTAGGAGGCTAAGGTTGGTTCAGTTGAGTGAGCCTGGGCATAACTTGCTCATGTCCAAGTGTGACGGTTCATGTGACTACCATATGCTCAGCATCCTCTGTGTATGTGTCCCTCAGGCCTCAGAACCATCCCATCCTGTACAGAGGGATAAACGAAAAGTAGAGGCTTGCTGAGTCCTTGCCACTTGTAAACAGTGAGGCTGGGGGTCAGGGGCAAGTGTTTTGGCTTTGAAGCCAGAGATTTCCACTTGTACTTTTAGGTGATGTGTTCAGCAAGGAGAGGGTTAAGTGGCTGCATTGTGAGGCCTTCTGTAGGTCACATGCTTTAGGAAGAATTCTGCTGTTATGTTTAACAACTAAGAATTTATGAGGACAAAGTTTTGAAGCTAAAAAAGAGGCCCCTTAACCAATGTGGTTTTAGTCCATTATGCCTTTCTAAGATATCTAAACTCCTAGAAGTTCTGTCTCAGCTATAACCTAGGGACACTAACAGTAGAAGCTTTATAGAATTGTAAAGAAGATAAAGTGAAAGAAAGTAGGCCATCTGGAGTAGAGTACATGCTTCTACACAATAAGATCTCTTTCCCTTTATACAAAGATCTTGTGTCTAGGTACAACTCAACTGTGCTCTGGCAAAATGGAAATGTTTACTTTGCCCTTTTTACTAATTTCCAATTCATTTCACAGAGGCTTAGACCAATGGCGTTCATAGAACTAGACTGGATCAGGTGAAGGGATATCCTGATGGAGATGGTGGATGGGTACCCATCCAATGTGACAGCAGTGAGACCCACGTTGCCCTGTCCCCAAGAGAGAGTCATCTCTGAAAAGTTTCCATTGGGGTTTCATGTCTTGGCTCTCTTTTCAAAATTTCTCACGAAAATTCAGGATCATCAAGGAAGAGGACCTTTCAACTTTTGTTAATTTGTAGCCCATGAAGGGTGATATGGAGAGTCCAGGATAGGTTGGGATGGAGCCCTGAGATGAAGGAGATGACCACTGGGTAGGTAGAAGTAGCTGTAAAGTTAAATAGGTTTCCTTCTTAACTCAGCCTGCTTCAGTTGTTGAAGGGTTAAATTGGCAATTGCATGGTGTTTTCTGGGCCCTGAGTCTATAGCTCTGCCCTCATGGTTCCTCTTGGAGTCTGTTCTCTGATGTGGGTGATGTTCTATCTAGACAGGGGGAATCCAAGCCAGTGAATTCTGGTGGGACTGGCTGATAAGACAACCAGATGCAGGAAAAGGGGGAGGGAAGAGCAGAGCAGATTAGGAAGGAGTGAGCTGGGGAACCAAGGTGGCTGGCCCACTGTATCTCTGAACTTGGGGGAATAGGATGAAAACATCGATTTCAGTAGCCTGAGAACCCAGGAAAAGACTTATTTTGTTGAGCATGATCTTCAATACTTCCCTAAGTTTTGTAATAATGAAGTGTTATGTTAGTTTTAGGCCTATCAAAATTAAGTTTAATAAGAGGTTTTATACTAAAAGGTAGGTAAGAGATAGATAATTCAAGGTCAGACACAAAAAGAGTTCAGCATGTGCCGTGAAGCTCGTCTGGTAGAGAAAAGATGCCAAGAAATCTTTATAAGGGTCTAGCAAAACAGTGAAAAATAATCATTATGGACTTTTTGTTCATTACTGTATATTTAGGTACTCAAAAACTCTTTCATGAATGAATCCACTCAACCGTAATAACAAATTCATGAAGCAGGTACTGTTTTCTCCATTATGCAGATGACATGCTGAGGCACACATACCTTAATGGACTTGCCTCGGGTCAGTGGTAAGAGCACTGTAAGTGGTGAGCGTGGAGTTCGAACCGATAGCCTGACCCACACACATCCCCTGCATGTCCTCACCTACTGGTTTCTCCTAAATTGTGGAGCAGGTGGTTAGGAAAAGTCCTACGAGAAAAGAAGCCGAAGTTACATCAGTGGTTTGTAGCTGGTGTCAGACCTTCTACACTTTTGAACGAAAGTTGGAGCATCTAGTTTTTTTCTAGGGTCAGAGAGTTTGGTATTGGGCCCTTTTCCAGAGAATACGATGACCTAAATAGGTACAAATACCAGAATGTCAGAGGTAATCCTGGACACTGGCTTCCTGAGTGCAGCTCAGCTTTGAGCACAAGGCTGAAGGGAATATGTGCTTTCACAGCTATCTGGTATCTCCCAAGTCTCGTAGGAAGCACGTTTCCAGGGCTCAGCTATCTGTCCTCATGAGAACTTTGGCTGGTGGGCTCCCTGGTAAGCATTTCCTTTGCCAGACTTAGCTTGGCATATATTTACTAGAAGGTGAAACCTGATAGAACAGAAAAATTGGTCACCATACTGGAACATTTGTTTTTCTAAGTACCATTATCTACAACTTCTACTGAAGGGAAAGAAAGGCAAAAGCTCTATATTTTGGGCTTATGAGTTCTTGCAGTTTTCTGGTGACATTGATTATAGCTTATCTAACTTCATACTAGGTCTACCTTATCTGTAAAGTAAAATACAGCTTGAAAATCAGAAGAGATGCTAGAACCTTGGGGAAAAGACTTTCATTTCTGATAAGATTTTGATTATGCTAAAATCTCTGTTTTCAATTTAGATTACCTAAGCAGAGGTTTTTTCTGTAAGAACCAATATTGTCACTGGTCCTGAGTAGCAAAGAAATCTATATATTTTTCTACCATCTGTACCTAACAATGACTAAGAAAAAAGAACTAAAATTGAGTCACCTGTCTGAAAAACCATTTTGCTTTTCTAGACATTAGCCTAATTTTTAATATTCTTAATATTGGATTTCAGTGAGTGATATGAGAACATATTTTTCACTTCTAACATGTTTTTTTCAACTAAATCTGGTATCCATGCTTTCTTTCTTTGTGTCACTGGACTCTGAATGGCTACCACTTTACCTCTGAAAGCATTCTGGAGCAGAGAAAACCTCCTACTGTCGTCTCCGTCACAAGTCACAACCTTCACAGGCCTTAGTTTCACATTTCCGGTACCCTTACTGTTCTTTTCACCTCTTGATTTATTGGTTACTATTTGGCTATATTTCTTTGTGGTCCTATTTTTGCCTATTTTGAGATTATGTTATGAGCAGGTTCAAATTCAGTGTTACTATATCCCGCTGGCAAGCTTCACTTATCAGTTTAGTGACTCCTTCATGTTTAGGCACATTCTGTTTGCCTTAAAGTCTATTTTATCTGATATTAACAGCCACTTAAGTTTTTTGTTGTTGGTTGGTTTAGTTTACCTTACATGTCTTTTCCCCAGTTTTTTAGTTTTAACCTTTGTTGAGCTAAGGGAATATTTATTTTTATTTTGCAGACTTAAGATTCATTAAACTTTCTGAATTTGTGAATTGGTGTCTTTCATTAGTTTAAAATTTTCTGTACCGTTATCTTTTTAAAGGTTATTATTCCCTTCTTAGTATCCTAATGATTTATTGAATCCTTGGTAATCAATAAATGCTATTTTTTATATTGCTTTTAAAAACTGAAAAATAGCTCAAGTTGATCAATATCTTTGCCTTTGTCTCAGACAATACAAGAACCTCCGGACATCTTTCCTGCCTTATCTGCTACTTTATTGTACCTTTTATTTCTATCTTTTTGTTTTGTTTTGTTTTGAGTATTGATAAGTGCTGTATATATACACTGTTCATTCCCCTTTCAGGACAGAGAGACTCCTGGATGCTGGACGTATTGGTGGTTGATGGCTCTCAGCTGATGCTCTGGGAGAAATTGTCCTCACCAGAAGAGAATGGCCTCAACCAAAGGCTGACACCTCCCCAGAAGCAGCTCATATTTAAGCTTGGTCAATATGTGTGTGTTGGGGAATAAAGATTCTTTACCCCATAAATGGCAACTCTGATGTCCATTCCAGCTCTGGAGGGAAAGATGGTGTCTTTTTCTGTGACTATATCACAATTCAACTTGTTTGCAGTCATTTCTATGTCCTTTATTCCCAAATAAGTATTGCTGCCTACAGTGCTCTCTCAAACATCTCGTGCATGCAAATCTAAAACTCAGACTGAGTTTCCAGGGAATGTTATATAGAATGAGAATCCATGACTAGTTTGTTAGACTTACCCACATATTTTCTATTTTATTTGCTAATATTTCCTTTTTGTACCTGGGATCAACTTCCTTAGAATTCTTCTCGCCAGAGTCTGCTGAGTGAAAGTCTTAATTTTGCTTTGCTTTGCAAGATAATTTTAGCAAGTCTGTAATTCTAGGTTAGTGATTATTTTCTTTCAGTTCATTGAAGACACTATTCTATTATTTTCTGATTTCCACTTTTGCTATTGCAAACTAAGCTGTCAAATGAATTGTCACTCCTTGGAAGTCTGTCTTTGATTGCTGGTCAAATCTTTTTGCTTTCATGTTTTATAAATTCATCATAGTGTGTCTTAGGGAAGATTAGTTTTTATTTTCTTGATTTGAGAGTCACTGAGCTTTCTGAATTTGTAGATTGGTGTCTTTCATCAGTTTAAAAATCTTCAAACCATTACCTCTTTTAAATATTCTGTACTTTGTTGCCCTCCAGACTTTGAATTAAATGCATGTGAACTTCATTTTATCCTAGACTTTTCTAAGTCATGCTCATACTTTTTGTCTCATTCTCTGTGATATAGAATAACTTCTTCAAATCTGTCTTTCAACTGACTCATTCTCTACTCAACTCTTTCTTATCTAATGAGTATATCCATTGAGTTTTTCGTTTTAATTATTGCATTTTTTTCTTAAAGTTTTATGTATTCTTTTACCAAATCTAATTTTTTGATAGTTTCTTTTTCTTAATTCAGTTTTTAATTCTCTTAAATTTTCTTTTAACATATTAGCATATATATTTTGTATCTAATAATGTCAGTATCTAAACTTGATCTGGGTTTGATTCTACTGGCTCTTGCTTTAAGGGAACTTATGAATTTTCTTAAAATTTTTTTTGGTGGGGCACACGCAATCCTAGGAACTTTTTCCAGGGAATTAGAGACTGGATTAGCAGTATGTCCCTCTAGAGAATTTGTGCTTGTGTCTGCCAGTGTGTGGGTCACTACCAGCCCTGGGGTGCTTTAGACCAATTCCAGGTGTGAAGTGTTTTGGGATCACACAGGTTGTCAAATTTCAAAACAGACAATAAACTCTGGATTTTGACTTTCTTTTCACTTCACTCTGCTCCACTGCTGTTGGATTCTGAAACCCAAACCTTAAGTTTGCCAATTTTGGCAAAATACTTGGAAAGCCTGCTGAGGTACAAGCTGCCGAAAGCCAGCTTTTTTAACCTTTCTGATTTCTTAGTTTCACTTAGCGTTTGACCTCTGAGGATGTTTTATTCACCAGCTCATTGATAAATTTCAGCAATATGTTTTATTTTAGAGCTAGCCTTTTTAGCTGGCTTCACAGAAGAGTTGTTCAGAATATCTAGTACATCAGACTGCTAGAGATAATCTCCTGAGCCTCAAATTTCACTTTTGTAAAATGGTAATAATGTTACTATTGGTTTAACTGGATTGTTGAAAGAACTAGAAACTAGCTCGCATATTTCCTATAAGGCAGAATTTCCTTAGTTGTTTTTCATTGAACTCATTATCCTCTCTGCTGAGGCTTTCTCAAAAGACTCTGAGATCAAATAGATTTGGAAAGTGCTAGTGATTGCAGACTCTCCTGGAGCATCATGAAAGCCCTGAAAGTCCCATTGTACTCTCTGAATTCATGGGATGCAGAACTGAACTTGTCATGAATATCTCTTAACAGCCCAACCATTGATTACCATTTGGGGAATACTGATGTGTTAGATATTGAATGAAATACTTAATCTGAAAGGCTGCTTGTTTCCTCACAAATATCCATGGGATTTTCTGTTGGGACAGAGGGAAAGAGAGAAGAGGTCAGGAGAAAACAGTGGCTCAAGAATGTCTTCTTCTGCACTACAGAAATCCTGATGTACTCTTAGGCAATTCTACTTCCCTTGTAGTAGGAAGCGAAGTGGGAAATGTACACTGAGAATACATGGAACCTTCTGTGTTGCATCTCTGTCATATATATATAGTTGTCTTTTTGGATGAAGGACACAGTGCTTCTTTGGACTCAAGGACTCAATCTTAAGAAGCTTCTACATTTAAGAAAGTTCCAATAACTGATTTTGAAGCAGAAAGGTTGATGTAGACTAGGTTTGATTTGGGAAGCAGGAAGCTCCAGAGGTGGGGAAGAACATCTGTAATGTACTGAGATTTACCTTGAGGTAAACCCCACAAGGAACATTTCTGATGTCCCTATACTATCTGCACAAATTACTCATTAATTGAAAGAAATGAGAACTAAGTCTTTTTAGGGGAGGGACAGAAGATCAGTCTTCTGTTTTTTGAGGAATAGGACACAGGGCAATTTTTTATACCAGAGGAAGAGAAATGTATGGATCTTTGTGTTTGTGAAGTTGATCGAGGATCTAGAATTCCTTCCCAAGAGCAATGTCTCTGTTTTCTTGATCAGTTAAGCTATGAAGGATGCTTAAAAGTGCTATTTCCCAAATAGCAGGAGATAATTTCTGGAATCAAGCATGGTCCACTGAAAACTAAGACCAAGGCTCTACTTGTCCTTTCTTTTCCCACAACTCTGGGGGAGATGCCTGATTCAGTAAGGGAACTGAAGAGCCTGCACTGGAGTGCACTATACTCTGGAAGCTGGAGCTAGGCTTCTCCTTGTTTAGTTGTGGACTCCATGTCTCAGAGGAACCAGAGCTGCTGGTTAAAATGCAGTTTTCTAGGCTCTCAACAGATCCATCTAGAATAACCTATGCAATTATTGTTGATACACATGTTAATGTTTGAGTTCTCTATGGTAAGTCCCTGACTTACGAACATTAGAGTTGCAAACTTTCACCAATAGGAATGGGCTTCCCACAGATACAAAAGGGAAGAATTCACAGAAGTAGCTGAGGTGTCTGCCAGATATTGTCACAGTTGAGCTGCTGTGTGCTTCTGTACAGTGTGACAGTGTACGGTAGAGCAGTGCTCAATTAGAGCCCAGGATGTCCAGAAGCAAAATGAAAGGCAGTGGTGATGTGGGGCGGGGGGCGGGGAGGGATGTGGGGGGGACTGCTGAGAAGTGTAAGCAACCACAGAAACAGAAGTGAAAACACAGTAAAAGCAAAAGTAGTTTCTTTACAGTTGCCCTGTACTATACCACCATTTTAAGGTAACTATAAAAATAAAAAATATTTATTCATGGTATTTGTGTGTATGTGTTTGGTGTTTTATGCTTTATGTTATATATTTGTGTCGAAAGTGTATAAGGCTCATTTGTTGGATCTACGAACAATTGCAACTTATGAACATTCTTCCAGGATGGAACTCGCTCATAAGTTGGGGACTTACTTGTACAGAAGTAACCTCAGGTGTGATCGATAGAAGTGGCTATTAGTGACTCAGGTATCTTTGCTTAAATACTCATAAAAGCTTAGGTGCTCTCAACTGCTCACCTACACAATAGTTCTCAGACTGAGAGTCTGGTTTACACACATGGTGGCCTGGCCACTTTGTTTGAAGTAACTAGCTCAGGATATGGACTAGGGACAGATGAAGTTAGTAGAAATCTTATTCATCTGTATGCAAGTGTTCCTTTCAAAATATTTTCAAAACTACAGCCACAAGCACATCATTTCTTACCAAGCTGCAAAACGAGCAGGATAAGTATTAATATTCGTTTTTACAAAATGGGAAATGGATGAGCTGATTTGTTCAGCTTATGAACGTACCATGTGGTGGAGCCAGCTTTAGAGTCCGGGGTTTCTGCCCAGTCCACCCTCCCTTCTTCCTCTCCCATCCCCAGCTGACTCTACCTGCCTCCTCCTTCCTCTCTCTTCCTTCCACTTCTCACTGCTCTTTCCATGAATATGTCAGCCAAGTGGTCTCTCTGTGGCGTTCAGTCCCGACCACTGCAGACACAGGTATGTCCACCACCATATCCCGCTTTATACAGCAGCGCTGGCCGGTTCTTACCCGGGGTGGCCTCACTCGTCAGTGTGTGCAGAGGAGAAAAACCTGGAGCTCTGTTTTGCTGAACCGTGCTGTCTTGCAAACATGGCCTTCATTTTACCAACCTTGCCAACTGTTGATTTTGTAAAGCTAAAAATAACCTCATCAAGAATGGTGCCACGGCGGGGCAGGGCGTCCCTCGTCCCTCCTTTTCTCCCTCTCAGGACTCGGGCACACCATAAGGGGGGTGGGGGGCTGGGCTCTGTGCAGTTTGGCAGAATGCTCAGGGAAAACATTTGCATGGTTTGCACCCATGAACATACTGAACTGAAATAATGAGAGAGCTACTGTTCTGCTATGAGGCACCAAAAAAAAAAAAAAAAAAAAAAAAAAAAAAAAAGAAGAAGGCTTTTCCAATTCTACATTTAACCTGAGCAATGCAAATAGCTTATTCTCCAAATCCATCTAACACTAAATATGAAATGATTAAACTACAGAATTAGCTGAAGTTCTTTACCTTCATTTTATATATATATAATATATGTAAATATGTATATATATGTAATGAAAAACAGTTTTTTCTCTCCTGTTGAGTGAATTTTAAAAAGTATTTGTCATGCTTTGTCATTCTCCTGTCACCTACAGAGCATTAGGCTTGGAGACCATGTACACAGAGCATAGGGAGTAGATTTCAAAGAACTTCATAGCATTTTTATACTTTTTTGGGTGTAATATTCTTCAGAATTACTGTTTTCTCTTTTCCCAGCAGTGGGCAGGAAGGCATGTCTTAGCTTCTCCTCTTTAAGTCTCTGGATCAGAGACTTGCACTGTGTTTTCACTTATGTTTCCATGTCTCCTCTTTAAGTCTCAGGATCAGAAGGTCCTGAAGCTGAAAATGCCTTCCCACCGGACTCTGGGTGAATGTGAATAGTTGTGACCCAACAGTGGCAGTGACTTAGCTGCCAGGTGCCTGTGCCCAGCCTACAAACTGGGCAGCAACCAGATCTACAAAAAAAGCCAGCAACCACATTCCAACCGCAAATGGGTCTGAGCTCTCTGTTCCCTGCAGCCCAGCAGGAGCAGGGCTGAGAGCATGGCTGGCTTTGGAACTCCAGGTTTCTGCAGGAGGTTTCTTGTTGCCACCCAGGGGTTGATTTGATGGTGTCCTAGCCAGATACAATGCTGGGTTTACTAGTCCTTCTGCAGGCGAGCAAAGAAGGCCAGCCTTTTCTTGGGATATCTTAACAGACAAATTGCATGCAAGCTTCTGGGGCTAATTGTGGTGAAAACTTGCCAGGTAGACAGATCCCTTTCGTGCCAACCATAATTAATAGAGTGATAGTCTTTAAGGCCATAATGTTCATCAGTTATTAATTAGCAATTCATTTCATTGAATAAATAATACTCATGATTGATGATAGAACTTGTAATTGGGCACTAGAAGTGGTCCCCCTGGGACTGGCTTACCAGCAAGTATTAACCACAACGCAGTGACGACAAAGACAGAGGACCATCTAGGAAAATCCAAGTTAAACAATAGTGACAGAGCCAAGGTGTCCCCTCTCA